GGTGGCAGCGTGGCGGGTAAGATTATGGATGGGTGGGTGGGTGGAGCGGTGATAAGCAGATTTTTGCATCCACTCTGTCTAATCGGCTTATTTTATATTTGAATAGAATGGCCAGCGTCACACCCTTCTCACTGTCTCATAAATCAGTAATTACACTTTATCTAATCTTCTTGTTCGAGTGCGCTCATTCGCGGGATTTTCGGTTTAGTTCAATTTACGGTCGCAACGGCGGGCGCTGTTGTCTACGTCCCGGCAGCGTCGCGACGCATCACCCGTAGAGAGTATTTAATCGCGGTTGGCCTGGTTCTACGAACCTACCTATCACGAATTTGCGTTCCGTACGAATTGTTGATACAAAAACAGATCATTATTTATACTTAATGCAAAAGAAATATGTAGTCAGATAGGAATTTGTTTCTGGAATTAGTACTTATTCGCTTTATAGATCAAAACATGCAAGGGATAATACACATCTTTGTTATTAAAAATAATAATTTCCTATAGATTAATTTTAGATAAAGGCGCTAATTAGGTAATCTCCTGCTCCTTGACTAATATCATTTGTTGTGAAACTAGTCTATCGTGTACTTTGCGATGTGGTAGAAGTAGAAACATTCTTCCTGTCCCGCAGTTTTTGCCTGAGTCTCACACATCACCTACGGTTTTAGCTATTATTTTGTTTATACTTATAGATAAAGAAAACTTACTTTTGTTTTGTACAATCGGCTTATTGAATGTGAATGCAAGACATCCGGTGATGCCGAATTCCTTCCCGCAGGTAGTTTTAGTTAAAATATTGTTAGATTGCGTTTGAATGTCAAAACTCGAATTTAGTTAACGACACTCAACTTTTCTTGGTGGAGGATAAAAACACGTTGGATATTAAATCTTAATAAATATATTTACAATACGAAGAATTTGACTCAAAGGTACAAAACTATGATGATGGTAAGGATAACTACAAAGTGTGTTTACTGTTGAACAACTTAAATCGAAGTCATACAAATACTGGATGTTACTTACTAACTACAAAAATTTAGAGGGGGTTGATAAATCAGAGCGTCAAGCGACCCTGGTTGTAAGAACTGTCCCCTTGCAGGTAGCGGGCAGTATCATAAAAATTAATATTCAGGAATTTAGAAAGTCAGTGACAATTTCTAGGTATAAAGATTCGTTTTGAAGATGAATTATTGAAACGTACAAAATAAAAATGATGAAACGAAATAAATATCTGAATGAACGTTACTTAAATATTATTAACTGTAAATGTTATTAAGACGATGATTTACGAATACTGAAAATAATATGTATAACAATTAACTCCTACTTAACATTCTGCCCCCTTTGAAAACTATAAAGTTTTCGAACAACTAAATTACTTTTGAATATTGATCTGTGTGATAAATTATAACTAAAATTATTACTAATATCGTCACTCAATTTAAACGGCACTTCTCAACACATATATTGACTAACACTCGCACATCTAGTAGGTAGTATCCACTGGTANTTTCAATATTAAGCGGGTGCTCGGAAGTTCTCTTCAAATCGTTCTTATTACCCCCGAAACTTTTCTTCTGACTCATTAGGAGCGGTCGACGATAATAATTTTCGTCGTCGAAGCAGGCCACGGCAAATAAGTGAGTAAAATACGTAGAGCAAGCAGAGCACCACGGCACACCCTGATTCAATTATTTAACCCTCTCTTAAACAATAGGTGGCTGTGAAATGAAGCGCTCGTTTTATAATGTTTGAATCTCTCTAACTTGATTTGGAATTAATGGTCCGCGAACGCGATGATAAGCGAATCCATTCGGCAATATTCGACACCGCTCGTCATCGTTTCGTGGGCTGTAAACATTTTAATAATGCACTCTCGCGACGCTGATAAGCAGATTTCCAACGCTTACTTCGTTTTATTGCAAGCTCTGTTGGCGTCGCTAATTCGTTCGCATTTTGCTCCGATACGTGTGCTGAAACAGCCATCGTTCGATCTAAATTCAATTTTAACTATCATTCTCCTATATTATGTGTGTGCATTTCACTCATTTTTTATTTGGTATTTTGTAGAACTTCAGTATTATTAATATGTCAAAGAGATAGGTAAAACAAAAGAAAACCCATATTAGTATGGATTACTTTGTATACTTAAAAAATTGAAAGTAGGAACAAGTGACGTCTGGTACGCCTCGAATGTTATTATTTGAAAAGAAAAATATTTTTGCTTTCACATGTCATTTGAAATGTATAAAATTTGATAGTTGAATGCGGTCACATACAGAGTGAAACCAAAATAAGTGCCAAGATTGCAGGAGGTGATAGAGCACTATAAAACGTGAAAACTTAGTATATGTTTGTATGTCCGAAAGTTCATTGTTTTAGAGAGAAACGTAGTTGAAAGTAGAGGTAAATTCAATTACGGCCCTGGAAGAGAAATACGAACCGCAACGCTGCACTCAATCAACTGGTGATTACCAGCATCAGTGTAGTATTTGTCTTGTATTTTTTTGCTGATGTATTATTTCTTTTTTAGATTAGATTAACTGTGATTCAGGGTGTTTATGTTAATCTAATCGATCTGCAGTTCAATAAACTAATTTAACAATATATTATCAATCATTAGTGCAGGTCAGTCACTGTAGGACAGTTGTTATTACAATAATGTGACGTGATACATATGTATGTATTTTTGGTTTTGAACAACAACGTCGCTGTAGGGAGAAAAACCTTCGATTTCAAAGAAGACAATCTCTAAAATAGTACACGGGAAATAGCAGGGAACAGTTTGGAAAATTTTAAAAGGACAGTAGTTGCTTAATTATTATTTGTAGTGAGTGCAAGCCTTGCTCGCAACTGATTTTTAGCCGCGAGTGGATTTGCCTGGGTGGTTTGTAAAGAAAAGTGCTGCATAGCCTAAGGTTTTCCACATTACGATGTTGTTTACAGACAAAGATCAATTTACCGCACCCTGAATGGAGTTTTGAATTTTCATATTAATTATTATTGGTGTTACTCAAATTCGCATGTCCTAAAAGGTAACACGCTTTGGCAATACTTCACTGGTGGTATGGAAATTTGCCTTAATAAGATTACGATTATCCAGGTGATTCTCATTTACCGACTGTTTACGTAACTTACATTTTTTTGTAGGTATTCGTACATTTACATTTATTTATTTAATTTACCTGATACTAAATGGTTTTTGTTTATGTTAGATGTTCTATTATCGGCAATGTTTACATTCTCTGTCCATGTAGCTGCAAAGCTTTTATCGCACTACGCCTTTAGGTAGCAAAAGCGGTCATACAATTATAGGCTACAAAATGTTTCAATTTTGTCACCAAACCACTTAAGTTAAACGTTAAACAGCAATTAAGTTATAACCTCACTATAACTTTGTTGTTACAATATATTGTACTTAATACAAAGGTGGCGGGAAGCATGATTTCGTAGGGTGGAAGACAGATTACAGTAGAAAAATCTTAATGGTAGGACCATAAAAAAGGGGGAGAAATACGAATCCAAAAATTAATTAATTGATTGCATCTTGTGTTTGCTTGGTGTTACTTAAATACTGCACTATCGATGAAAGTATTATTTAATTAGTAATTAGTAAGTTACTTACATAAACTAAATAATAAATTATTTTAATTTATTAATTAAATTTCGGTAATGAAAGTTTCAAGGCTGCTAAACATAAATACAAAAATATAGAAAAATTAGATCTTTCAAATCGCAAAATAAGCTTCTAAAATAAATATTTTGGGTGAGCTATACTGTGGTATTGTGAAATGTAATTCCTCATTTTTGATCAATTACTCCGATACTTTTCAGCACAGAATCTGAGAACCCTGAAAAAAATTCATATTTAGGTAGGAACTAAGAAGGTATATAAAGTTAATATATCAATAACATTTGGAATTGTTCTTGTACGAAAATTAACTAGAGAGGAATCAGAAACGAGGATTTTATATTTAAAAAGAGTATCNTTGATTTTCATAATATGAAGAATAATAAATATTGAGTAATTTTTTAGGTGTGTGTAAAAGCTTTCAGCGTTGCAGATTTTAATATTAACGTATTCTATTACTGAAAAGTTTGGAACATATTTTCTTTTACATTATTGTAAAGAAAAATGTCTGGAATTTGGTGTATTTTTTATATGAATTATATCTACCATAGTCGGATAGTAGTTTTGCCGGGTACCGGATAAACTACTACATTAATCCTTGTTCAAAAATTCGTTTAAACAATAAACCGGTGAAATTTTAATTTTTGGTTAGTGAATTTGCAAGACGGTTGAGTTGAAACTGTTGAAACGAGCCTGTAATGTTTAACAGTAAAAATCTGTAAGATGACAAAAGCATAGTTATCGCTAATCAAATTCTGATATATCTGCCAACAAGCGACAGAAATTATAACATGAGAATTTTATCGAAATAAGAAATAATTTCGTATTATAATCAATAAATAATTCAAATTGGGAAGAACGAATTATCCCAATTCAACCTTAATTACCAATATATTACCTAAATTATTATTTCTGGTGTTTGTTTTTCATTTCTCTCTGGTAGAATTATTCGGTCTGCTCCCGTACCCGGTGTCATTATCCGGTCCCCGGCTGGATCTTAAAAAAAGTGCCAAATTCACCGGGTACTGGATCCAAACCGGGTGTTCACCCCTTTCTAATTACGACCTCCTTTGATAAATAATTCGTTTGCTCTTATTTGACTGAAATAATATATTGTGTTTGTAAGTTCATCAGTTATTCTATTATAATTAAACATATTCAGATAGCAAGAATTAAAGTTTGCTTTTATACGTATATTATATATTATATTTTCACATAACATCTTTCAACATCCATAGATATAAGTATTTACACTGCTTAAATAAAATTACTTACAAGGTGACTAGAACGATTTCGGAATAATAATCGCAGATACATATTTTACAAAAAATGATAACAATAACAGACAATAAGAATTTATTTAATGAGATCACTTGGAATGACTTTTTTTCTTCGCTTCGGGCGGCTCATCGTCATCTTCATCTTTGTCCTGATGAGCGGTCATATGTCTGGTGAGATGATGCCTTTCTCTGAAGGACGCGGTGCACACTGGACATTTTAACTTTTCCTCCCTTTTCCTTCTGGTCACATCCACGGCATCGTTTTTATGGTGTGACCGCATGTGGTATACCAGGTCGGAGGTCATTCTAAAACTAACATTGCACTTGGCACAAACATTTTGTGCGGGAAGCGATAAAGCGGCCAACGAAGGTGGTAGAAGCGTCGTGAGTATAGCTGCCGCAGGATTCCTGATATCAGGTGGAAATTTTAGTTCGGGGTTTCCGATTTTGAGAACGTCCTGTGCGGGAAATTGGGGATAACTGTAGCTGATATCGGGCCTGTATTGTCCCAGCATAGGTCTCATTTTTGAAAATGTTGGATGTAAGAGATCTGCCGCGTGATTTTTTGGTATAAAGTGGTGTTCCATGTCAGCGCCGGAATGAGTTGCGGCAAACGAGTCTTGGACGAGATGAGTTTGATATGGTGGCATATTCTGGGTTCGAAACACCTGCGTTGGAGACATGACCGGAGATTGGAAGCTTTGAATGTTTCTAGATGAAAGATTCGGAGGCGAAGGGCTAAGCGATTGCTGGTAGTTAATGTCAGGACTTACCGACAAACTTGGCGATACTCTTCGGTCTTTGTTCAGAAGATTTACCTTGGTAAAAGCGCTTTTTTGTTCGGAATCTAAGACGAGTTTTGGTTTGTATATGTCCGCTTCTGTAGCCGGTTTGACTTTGAAGAGGGCGGGATCGTCGAAGACTTGTTGCTTCGAAGGAATCGTTTGGAAGAGCTTTTGCCCTTGCAGTTTATGAAGATCTATAGGACTAATTGATATGGAATCGGACTTGCTTGTTGTGAAATTTTCCACGGCATCACAGTTTGTCTTTTCGTTGTTGTTTTCGCATTGAGAATTGGCTTGTGTAGTATCTATTTTGTTGTTGTATTTGTGTTTAAGTCTTTCATCCGGAAGCATCAGGAAAGCAACATCGAACGGCCTCTTTACTGGTTTCGTGGTCACTATCTTCTCTTCAGCTTCGATTACTTCTGATTTAATTCCATTCGTTCTTTTGTTCACGTCCATCGTCATGGTTGTGATGATTCTATGTTAACACTTGGAGTTCAACATAACACTTAACAACAGTCTACTGGATTACACTTTCATATCCGTGTTGTGTTCACGAGCACGAGGCACATAATGTGAGGGTTCGCTCTTGAAACCTCTAAATATTGTTAGATTTTAGCACGTTTCCCCTAAGCCAGCTGCACGAGGAGCATCCTACTCCCTGATGGTGAAACAGAGAGGGGAAACGAGAAGGTTTTGTGGAAGAGAAGAAGAAACGTAGTGGCGCTTTCCTACAGGACTCACTTCCTGTAATTCATCGCCTAATTCAAACCATCCTATGGGGGTGAACTTAAGTTTTGGGGTAGTTTCAGACCAATGGAGATCGAGCGTGAGGCGGAGCTTGAAAATACGGTTCGCCAATACGGTAGGCTATGCTCACGTTGCCAGAGCTGTGACGGCTCAGTCTCCTGAAATGTTTTCGGCTCCAGTGGGAAGCAGATTCTAATTCGCATATGCTCTTTTATTTCGATTTTTAAATCTCCCGCCTCGTAACGCTGCAAGCTTGCTTTGCAATTAAGGCTTTTGTGGACAATGAATTTTGTACATTTTCAGAATTCGTAGCAAACTTGCATACACATTAAAATAAAACGACGATGCATATCAGACCTGACATAATGTGTATAAAAAGGATGGTGTAGGTGAGGGAAACTTTTTCTTAAAAACAAGATTCAATAAATACGTATAAATATTTTTTTAAATCTGCAAATTCAAGAGCTTCTATTTAAGTAAATTAAGTTGGGATGATTTTAAAATGAAATTGTAATCAAATAAATTTTATTACCCAATACTTTTCTATATTATTTGGAAGTTGAATCTTGGCGTAGAAAAGTTATTTGCAAGGGAAAGCTTTTATTTATTTTGCACCCAGCACCTCCGCCATATTTTATTAATTTTGATTGTATGTGTACGTATATTTTTTTAACGTGGGCATTTGTATGAAAAGAAAAACATATCGTTAGTAAATTAAAAGTAACTCATTTTAAGCTTCAGCCCTTATACATAATAAAATCCAGCTACCTAATTGAATATAAATTTGTTTAGGGTGTCTACTACACTACTGCTGTAGAAAGCAAATTATTTTTAACGTAATTCCGAAATCCCTTTGTCATTTTTTTTTTGATTTCGCAAAAGTTAATATTAAGAAATTTAATAGAATTCGATTCTTGAAAAAGTGTAGATAACAATCCTTAAAATCTCATTATTAGAATATGTATCAGAATACCCTATTTCAGTTCTATTTTGTATCCCTTTTTACTAATTTCTACTTTCTTAACTGTTCGGGGATTTGTATTCTCTACCTCCTCCCTTGTCAACTACTGTCTGAGTAGCTCATTCCCTGTTATTAATGTATCTGTGCTGATTTTTCTGTAACGTTTTACTTATCTACTGTAACCGATCAAAGTGATTGCGGAACCCAATCGACTAAATACTTTGCAATATGGCCCGATCAGCGGCCCCCATTCTCTGCAGGAGATTTCTACCATATGTCCATCAGCCACACAAAGCAGGTGCCCTTTTGTTATGGACTGGTATGTTCTCCGACAAAAGACATCTAATCCGTGTTCATAGTTTATGTAGATATGTATATATGGTTGACATACACATTTATTCAAAAGCTCTACTGTGGTGATTTCACCTGATGGTGATACATGAAGTTTTTGTAGTTTTCTTTTTATTTTAAAGCAGTTTTTATTGGAAGGATTGAAACACAAGACGATGTTTTTTCTTTTACATGATATATCCGTCTGCTTAAAGTCTAAAATAATACAGGAAGATGCAGTTACATTAATACATAAAATATCATCATAAAAGATAAAGACACCGCTTAAATATTTGTACATAGTTCTAAAGTTTATTTTACAACATGACTATTAATGTAAGTAATTTTATAGATAACTAGTGCTTTGCTACGCCACCAACTAAAAAAAATTTGAAGGAAAGAGGTTACACAAATATTCAATTAATTTTGAGTCATTTTATTGATTTTGTTCATTTCGAAAAATTTGTGACTGCAGCGTTTCGTTTCAATTCGACATTTATTGAAGTGCTGTGGGATACACAATATTTTTTGTTTTTCCTGTCGAAAATTGATCGTACCAACTCAGAAACCTTCTTTGGCTCATTCACAACAACTTTGCTAAATATCATCACATGATCAAATGCATAGTTTACGATTCTATAAAGGACATACAGACAAACATTCATTTTTATATATATATAGACTAAGAACATTTTTCTAATAACTTGTGATTTTAATTAAACTTTATTTAATGGAAATTTTGAAGCGTTAGTTGTATTAAAAAATCGGTGTATTTACATTACCACCTCGCCTAACAGTTGTTCAGGATACATACAGTGCAATATGGTAATGATAATTCGCCTACAGCGAACATAAATGAGTCAAGGGCCTTCGAAGTCCCTGCATGGACTATATGTTGAGATCATCGTTTTTTGTATTGAGTCTGATGTGACGCTCTGTGTGCCGTGCTCTGGAGCTTTGCAGTCCGCCCGGGTGGACGAGCTTTGTATAACGAATAAATGGGTTTTGACAGGTCTCTGGGGTTGCACGTAATACCACTTGTCCATATGCTGCACCGTGCACCCTTGTTTTCTTCGACACCGCACATATCGCCTTTAGCTAAAGCGTCTCCACTGCACCACATGAATATGTACATATTCATACTAAATATATTTTATCATGTATTGTATATACCTATAGGTATCTACAATTAGAAGCAACTTTCTACAGATGGCGTTCAACATGCCGCCTGTAGTTATTTGATAAACGCTGTTTAAAGGCAGAAGTAATCTGATCGAAAGAATAGGAGAACAGAGGACTCTATGGAAGTCTATAAGAAATAGACGAGATAGGTTGCTAGGACACCTTCTCAGGCGTGAAGGTCTAGTCAGAGAGACTAGATATTAGAGGCAGAAACAGGAGTTACGAGGGGTAGAGGTAGACCTAGATTAGATTACTGTTCGCAAATAGTTAAGGATGTGGGATGTTATAGTTTTAGGGAAATGCGAAGTTTAGCTCAGGATAGAAAAGAGTGGAAGTGCGTGTCCAACCAGTCTTAGGACTGACGACCTTATGATGATGATGACTGAATTTTATTAGTAAACCAATTAGTTCCTTCACTAATTAATTTAAATTTTATGTGACGATACTACTTGAGATGTTACACTGTGTATAATGTCACGAATATACCAATCCTACTAGTTTGTCAAAGTATAAATTAATTTTTGAGTTTCGTAACTGTTCGAGAACAAAAGCAGTACCAGTTACTAAAAAGTAATTTATTGTAGATCTATAAGAATTGAGTATCCAGCGTCCAAATCCATTGAGAATAAAAGCAATTATGAGCACATGCGACCTTGATAGCATCCCACATCAATCAGCTTGTTTCTGCCTCGAGACAAACGGTGGAAAATCACTTCCAGGGGTAATAAGATAGCTGTCGAAGTTTTTAACGCTACCAATAGGTAATCAATCCATCACACTTGAGGCGGGTGGGTGTGTTTGTTCGGCAGAACCGTTGCAAAGTTGAGTTCCGGCCGTAAAACTTCTGATGTTCAATGCCAGAGGATTGTTATTTAAAGACTGTAAGAGACACAGATAATTATGTTTCTTTTACTGCCTTTTTCCGATAGGTTAAAAGAAGGTTAAAACATTGTGGCTCATACTGGAATACTGATTGGAAAAAATAGTTGTGGTATTTCTATCAATTTTCGTTTGTATTATGAAATGACAAATCCCAGTCACAAAAACAATTATATTTTGAAGCAGGAGGAATATTTAATGAGGCACTAAAGTTAAGAATTAAAATTTGTTAAGCAAAAAAAAAATTAATAGATAACTGAATATAGCTCTGTTGTTTTGTAGGCAAATGGTATCGATAGGCCGAAATGCGGGCACTCGAAATATATTCTAAAATTTTCCAAATCAGGATAATCTCAACATGCCATGTAACTTAAGTATTCACGTCTTTCTTCATAATGATAATTTTTCAATAAATAACTAGGTTGTTCAAATCTAGGATTGACCAATTATTCCAGAAAGTTCTTACATTTCGGTCTTTGACTTAAACCTATGCTAGTCGGATTTAGTCTATGCTGTGCTAATTTTCTATTTAACATTTCATAGTTGAGCTCATTCCTAGTAGAAAAACGACTCAACTGTGTATGAGCCAGTAAATGGGTAATTAACACAGCATAGTAGCATATAGCAGTACCTAAATGCAACTATTTCCACTTTTTTTGAGGAAGATTACGAGGTTATGATAAGTCTCAAAACAAGAACTGCTCTCGCCAAAATAAGACCAAAATCAAGACTTACTGTTGGAAAGTAAAACCAAGACCATGATTATTACTTTTGCGTTTACTTATCATTACATGTCACAAGCTGAAAGTTACTTTCCCATAGATATATAGCGCTATGTTAGATCAACTTATAGTTTTAAAGAACAATTGTACATCATTTTGCACTTTCTAACTGATACGTAGCCTCTTGCGTATATTATTTTTCAATTATAAGAGCATTAGTATCCGGGAAACAAGTGGCCTTTTCGTAAGTCTGCTCGGATCAAGTGCTGTTTAACCAAAGCACTTGTCGATCGAGCACAATGTCGGTTAATGACTTTTTGGCGTACACAACCCATCTGTTCGCATGTTCGCGGCGGGACCAACATATGGCACCGAGGGCCCCGTGTTTCGAGCATTATACCAGCCAACAACCCTCTAACCTCGTTCAAAGGACGAAAGAAATAAATAGTCCGGCGTATTGGAAATCCCTCATTTAAGCGTCGTCATAAACTGGAGCAGTAGAAAGGTTTGACGATTGGCTATGAGGAGACTAAAGCGTACAGTGCATGAATAGTACCAATATTGATTTCTTTGTTGCAACTGAACATATGTGCTGGTTATACGTTTCATATTGAGAGTGCATATCGGGATTAGAATTTAACGTCCTTTGTCATCTAATCCCGATGGCTAATACGGGAAGGAAAGGAATTGAATT